CCCACGTGCTAGCTTCTCCCCCTGCATGCAAATACTCCCCACGCACCAGCTACCCCCCTGCGTGCAGATACTCCCGTGCTTCCAGATACTCCCCCGTGTCAGCTACTTCCCTTCCTTCTTCCATGCAGGTGAATGCCACCCATTTGAAAACTGTTTGCGCCAGGTTTACAATCTGTTTTCACTGCTTTGGGGCAAGAGCTCAGCTTCACTTAGGGGCAAAGCTGCTCGATAACACAACATCTGCTTATCGACTTCCTAACCGCTGGGACCGAGAGGAAGGCATACGCCTCCTCTTTGCAGGAAACTGAGTTTCCCATGTTTGGAAGCCGTACCCCACGTAAGGCCATGCACACCATGGCTTCCGGCAGGCGCGGTTTTTACACGAACGCTTAGGAAGGACTTTCCTGGGCATTCTGTGTTTATGTCGTAAAGTGTAGGAGCTCTGGTGTCCTCAAGGGCATGGACCTCATCCCCCTGTTTCTCCTCCAGGGAGAAATCAGGGTGTCTTCATCTACTTCCTTTGTACAGAGAATCTCAGCTTTGTGGACATACTTCACCTTCTCACTAACGCTGGTGCCAAAGGCCACTGTTTGTCACAAAAGACAGATGTCACGCAACTGTCTCCCCGTTCGAAGGTATGGTGCACCGCCACCAACTGCCAGATGTGGAGAAAGGGGTGGGGCCCCCATCGATTCTGGGTCTTCCTCATTTTGAAACTCGTAAGAGCTGTGAGGAGTTTTCGGGGTGGGCCTCTGAGGCACCCCCTTCTCTGGCTGAGAAACTCACGCTCCTCCCCCTCCTTCATTGTTCCCATGGTCCCTGCTTCCCTTGCTTGTCTAAATGACTGATCTCTGACTTTTTTGAAATTTTGGTCACTTTTCTGTCTCTGACACTTTGGAGTATATGACACAGGTTTTAAAAAAAATGTGTGAGAGCCCCTGGTGATTTATCTCAGGCATACATGGCTTTACTCAACAAACACCTGCTGGTGTCCCTGTGGTCCAAGTGCGGATGGAGGAGGACATGACCTTTTGGATTCTAGGAGACGTAACGCGCACGTGTTCTCTTAGCCATGAAATGACAGGTGTCAGGGCTGAGGTTAGCCCCCAGGCCCGGGTCCCATTGCCAGGTATGATTCATCGCCTGGCTTACAAAGGTAGCAGAGACTATCCACCCTCCTCCCCAATCAATCAGTGACAATTGCCTTTCAGGCCCAACTGTGCACACTGACTTGCTTTATCGGTAATGATTTTAAAATGCATATTTTTATTAATCTGAATAACATTGATGTTTTATAAGCATATCCATTATGTACTATGAGCATACATGTCTCACTGAGATGAAGAAGACGATAGTGAAAGAATGGATATTTTTGTAAAGTATATGTAATTGTGGCTGATAAATAAATCTCTACATGTCAGAAATATGGCAGCCATGGTTCCTTTTTATGGAGAATGTACATACATTTTTCCAGGCTCATTTTAATTGCACATGAGGTAAAAATACATATGACTTCATTAAAAGTGGATCTGTTGGAAAATTGTGTTTAAGTTAGATGGTTTGTTGCTTCATGAAATATTCTGGCAAAAAATGCTCTGTTTTATCACTTTAAATCTCTATATAAAGAAATCACAGAACGCCTGGCCACTGTGGTTTAGTGACTGAGCGTCGACCCTGCACATGCCCAGGTTGTGGGCCCATCCCCAGTGGGGGGCGTGCAGGAGGCGGCCCATCGATGTTCTCTCTCATCCATGTTTCTATCTCTCTCTCCCTGTCCTTTCTTCTCTCTCTAAAATCAATAAAGGGGAAAAAAAAAAAGAAGAAAAAAATTTTAAGAAAAGCTGTGGTATGTATATACAACGGAATATTACTCAGCCGTAAAAAAGAATGAAATTTTACTTGTTATGACAGTATGGCTGAACCTAGAGGGTATTATGCTTAGTGAAATAATTCAGAGGAAGAAAATACCATATGATTTCACTTTATGTGGAATAAAAAGAACAAAATTAACAAACTGATAATATTTTTTATTTTTTTCACATTTCATTTTTTTTTTAATTTTTATATTTTAATCCTCACCCAAGGACATTTTTGCATTTATCTTCAGATACAGCAGGAGGGAGAGAGGGAGGAAGAGAGAGAGAGAAACATCGATGTGAGAGAGACACATCCAGCGGCTGCCACCCACACAACCCAACCGGGATCAGGGACAAACTGCAACCGAGGTACCTGCCCTTAGCGGGAACCGAACCTGGTCTGCGGGCCGGAGCTGTAACCACTTAGCAAACCGGCCAGGGCAATATTTATTTTTTAAATCCAGTGATCCCACTGCTGGGAATATACCCTAAGAAGCCTGAAACACCAATCAGGAAGAATATTTGTACCCCCATGTTCATAGCAGCACTATTTATAATAGCTAAGATCTGGAAACAGCCCAAGTGTCCACCAGTAGACGAATGGATCAAAAAGCTGTGGTACATATACACAATGGAGTACTATGCAGCGGTAAGAAAGAAAGATCTCTTATCCTTTGAGACGACATGGAGGGACCTGGAAAGTATTATCCTAAGTGAAAGAAGCCAAGCAGAAAAAGACAAATACCACATGATCTCACTTATATACGGAATATAATGAACATAACAGTCTGAGGAATACAGTAGACCCAGACACATGGAAGTAGGGCACAGACTGACATCCCTCAGAAGAGGGATGGGGGGGGGGGGTGGGGAAGAGATAAACCACAGAACTCATATGCATGTATGCATGACCAATGGACATGGACAACTAAGCCGGGGACAGGGTGGAGGGGGGGTGGGTATTTTCTTGAACACTTGTTTTTTTGCCCCCACGAAAGTGTTTGTTCCCCCATTTCATATTTGTATAGACAATGAGGGAAATGTTCCTTTGTATACAATCCCCTTGCCTGGGGTGAACCCGTTATGCCCCAACTATTCATGAACCCTCCCTGTTTCCCCCACCGACATGAAATGTGACTTACGTCATCCAACAGACCCACGCGTCTGGGTCCCAGGAAAATGCAGAAACCATCACGATTCACTTACCCTTCCAACTCGCTGTGGCCTCCATCCAGCTCCTCTGGGGATGTGGAGAGATTTTCTAAACCTGGATTCATTTCTAAACTGTTCCTGGGCACTCATTCTATTTATCAGAGGGCTTCCCATCCTCGGGCAAATGTTGGCTTTTTATTCTTCCTCAACACTTTCGAGAAGGCCATTTGAACAGGTGCATCAGTGAGTGTATTTGGATCAATTACTGGAGATGTGTATCTATCTATCTATCTATCTATCTATATCTATAATTATATCCATATCCATATGGATATATCTATAATTATATCTATATCCATATCTATATCTATAATTATATCTATATTTATAATTATATCTATATCATCTATATCTATATCTATATCTATATCTATATCTATATCTATATCTATATCTATATCTATATCTATATCTATATCTATATCTATATCTATATCTATATCTATCTGTACAGTTTGGACTCAGTCCCTGGCTCTATTTCTTCTCCAATGAAGAAGTAAATGACTTGGTAGTTACCTGACATACTTTTGCCTTGAATTGTGCATATTTGTTACTTTGGGTTTATTAACGGAATGGAGCCCCAACGAAACAGACCAACCAAAAAGCCAAGAACTTTTCCAAGCCAGGGGCACTTCCGAACCGTAACGGGTTTCCGTTCTGGTGAATCCTCATCTGAGGATCTATTTTCCATGGATTTTTTTAAGTTTTATTTTTCAGATAGCGTGGGAGCGAGGAAGAGAGAGAGAGAGAGAGAAACATCCAGGTGAGAGAGACACATGGATGGGTCGCCTCCCGCACGACCCCGACTGGTCCTGGTGGTCGAACCGGCAACCCAGGTACAGGCCGTTGAGCAGAACCGAACCCGTGTCGTCTTTGTCCACTGGACCGCCGAGCCAAACCGGCCAGGGCTGGGCTCCTATTCTGGATTTCAGAGCACGTTTTGGGGGAGCAGAACAGTTCATTATTTCCAGTCAGCCCCGCTGAAGGCGCTGACAGGACCCGGTGACCACAGTATTCCTCTTTGATCGTCATGAAGACAGCTCTCGATTTCTTCCTTCAGTCCCTTCACCTCCTTATTCCCACGTGGCTGCCGAAAGAGCCGGGCTCTGTGCTCCTCAAATTACTTTGAAAGCAAATGCCTGTCTTTCCCCAGGCAGGTCAGCGTATCAGGGAGAGGTAGAACCTTTATCGATTTTTTTTAAATTGTTTTTCCTTTATTGATTTGAGAGAGACAGAGGAAGGGAGAGGGAGAGAGAGATGGAAACATGGATGAGAGAGAACATCGATGGGCCGCCTCCTGCAGGCCCCCCACTGGGGATGGGCCCACAACCTGGGCCTGTGCCCTGACCGGGAATCGAACCGGCGACCTCTTGGTGCAGGGTCGACGCTCAGCCCCTGAGCCACACCAGCCAGGAGAGAAGTAGAGTCTTTAAAATGAGCCGGGTGCGAAGAGACTTCTCTCTGTGGGTGCCTGACTCAGCAGACGGTTCCAGATGGCCTCCTCCCAGATGTCTCCCCAGAACCACGAACCCCAACTCTCCTCACACAGCTCCTGTCCCGTCCGCCCTCCCTCTGCTGCAGCCCAAGGTTAGTGGCTGGAGCTGATTTAGGGCCCTGTCCCTTCAGGAAGGTGCCGGGGATCCTGACCCTCCCCCTGGTGTATATCTCAGCGGGGGGTTCTATGTGTGCCTTTCTGCTGGGGAGCCGGCTTGGGGTTCGAACCCCCGACTTCTCAGAGGGAGCTGCTCACAGCTAAGTCAGCCCCCAGCTGCTGCCCGTGGGCATCCAGCCAGCCCTCTCTCGCCTCCGCAGCTCCCATCAGTCTGGATTTGGGGTCCTCTTTCCGTTCCTGGTGATTAGGGTTCTCTCCGGCTGCTCTTCAGTTGGTGTTTCCAGGTGAATTAAATTTATTTTAGTTGTAATTCCAGTTTG